GGGCATGGTCATTGTCACCCCAAAATCCTTGTCACTTGCACCCACCGATACTCAGTTGATCTGGTCTCTCTCTGTCAGTACATGATCCCAAAGACCCCATCCCAATCCCAAAGACAAGCCACGTGAATCCTCCCCTCCCATTTCTTTCCCATCCCATCCCACCATGTTACAAATATATGTGTTTTTTCTTTTATTTGCTATAACTGCTATGATAACTGCTACGTTATCATAAAATGTTCAGGGTTTAGAGTAGGGGGTGGGTGGGTGTTTGTTGCTGCTTGGTTGATTGGCGATTGCTGTCGATGTTGGTGGTGGTGGCCACAAGCTCTTCTGGCTTTATTTTTTCTGGGTTTTTTGGACTACATTTCCCAGCATTCCTGAGCTCAATGATCTTTGTACAGTTTCCAGTGGGGGCTTCCATTGGAACCCTCCCGTTCCCTGCCCAGGTACACCATCAATCTGTTTGTGTAGTGCCACATATGGCTTTTGGAGGTGAGATGTAAATTGTTTTATAAATGTTTTTGGAATATTTTTGAAAATATGGGCTGCTGTTCATCTTGGTCCCTAACCCACCTAGCTGTAATAGTTAACCTTCTCACCTGTTAGTGTCCTGCCTCGCAATGTGGGGCCCCAGCATCGAGACAGTATGATAGAACATCTCCCTTTTCATTCAGAACATCTCCAGCCACTGCTGGTCGTTCCAAGTCATCAGCATGATTCACTCCCACCAGTCTCAGCTGCTCTTGTGGGCCCACACAATGCAGATTCTGGTCCTTTAGTCCGGTTTCTCAAAAGAGCCCAGTCATCTTCCACTTCTTCACTTTCCTCTGGGTATTCCAAGTCCTCTGGGTACCTGTATCTTCTTCTTCGTATTGTCATTAATGTTGTTAAAGCAGAAACACAACTTGCCACTGAACACTCTAGAACAGTTCCTATCCTTCTCAAGAGTTGCAGCAGTAATCCCCAAGTAAACAGCATTTGCAGAAGCAGTACTGCCACCTCCTCCTCCTCCTGTTCATCCATATCCTCCATATTCTCCATGTTGGAGGACTCTTTACTGCATTGTTCTCCATTGTCATGCATTCCATCCTCATTCTCTGTTTTGCCCCTCTCCATCAGCAGCAGCTTCTCACCTGTCTGCAGCAAGTGGGAGGCAGGAACTACAGGGTGTTCTGTGGTCTGGAGCTTGGTGTAGCTGCTTTTTCAACACTTCACCCCAGGGCATTGGGGTTTTTGCACATCCTTTCATCCTGAGCTTAACAACAACTGCTGTTCTGGTGTAATCAAGCTTGCAAACAAAAAGGGTTTTGCCTACTCCTCTCCTGGTAATGTAGGTTATTCAGAACTTTTGCCACTTCAGGGAAAACAGGCTGTGCTTCTGCAATAAAATTATTTTGCACAAGCAGGCAGATAGGTATCAATTTTTGCAACATTTTGGGCCATTGAGCAGTCATCCCAAAGTACAATGGCCTTATTCACCCTATCACCATGTCTTTGTTGGTAAACTGGGTGCTTCATCACCTTTGGGTGTTTTGACACTTACAGGTAATGACTTCACAATCCTTGGAATTTTCCCAGAGCCTCTTGCAAGTATAGCCTGAGTATAAAGGAGCCCCACCCCACAAATTTTGCCAGCCCCCCCTTTTCACAAATCGCTTTTGCTGTTGATCATGAACTCCTTCGTCATGTCTCAGAAAGCCAAGGCCAACAGTATGAAGCTGACAGCCTAGGAGGCTGATACCTTCCAATGCCTGTGGACACAACTGGACCTGGGAAGAACTGGAGGACTTAATCGACTATTGGTCAAAGCAAAGGATCATAGGCTGTAAAGTAAGAGGAATAAGCCTATTTATTTCAAGATTGCAAAAGGCATGCAGGTGCAAGGGCACAATCATGACTGAACCCAGGTCTGGTGCAAGATCAAGTTCCTGAGATCAGCATTTTACAAAGCAAAAGATGTGAACTCTCATTCTGGGACAGGTTGCACAATTGCTCCCTTCTACAACAAGCTGCTTTTCATTCTCTATAAGGATGCGGGCAACAACCTGGGTATGGAGACTTACAGCACCAGGGTTGGGCCGGAGGGAGGTGGAGGCGGCAGCAGCCCCTCCTGAGTGTGAAACCATGAGCATTTGTCAGATGTATGCAGACTGTTTCCTGCTCCTTGATGACTATGACTGGCAGGAAGAACCGTTGGTCACCATACACTTAGTGCCACTTAGCCCCATTCCAAGAACTAGCACAGATAATGAAGCAGAGGAGGTGGAGGCTCATGAAGAAACCCAGGCGGCTAATACATAATCTACTGCAACCAAGACTCAAGAACATGCTGGACCTGGTAAGTGTCTTGTAATGTGCCTCTTGCCACTGCCAGGAAACTCCCAGGTTCATGCTGGTTGGGTTTGAGGGGCGGGGGGAGAGGGGGAGAAATTCATGGGTTGCTGTAGGTGGCTCACCATGTTCTTTCAGTGGTGGTGCATGACGGGTTCAATAGCTTGTAATGTAACAGATGCCAAACTAATTATTTGCTTTAATTATTTTTTTCCAGCTAGCATGGGCAGTGGCAGCCATGGACCTGTTTCTGAAGTGGGTACTTGTAAGTTTTGGGCAGTACGAGTGGTGCCCCACTGTTGCGGGGTCTGTTTCCATGCCTGCTGGAATTTTATGCACTGCATGGTGGGGGTGAGGATGTGTACTTTCCTCCTCTTGGGGAGAAGGCAACCATTGCTTTTTCCTTTGTTTATCAGACACCATGACCCATGGCCACCTGGAGCAGGGCCCCATGCACACTACAGCAGAGTGCTGCAGAGATTTTCACAGCAAGCAGAGATGGTCCCGTGAAACCTTACCTGAGGTTTTGGTGGAGTCCTCAGTAGCCAGAGCGGAATGCACAGATGACTGGCGGGACAAACTCCATGAGTTGCTGCATAAGCATGATGCCATCCTCGAGGAAGTGTGAGACACCATGAAGAATTTCAAAGACATGGTTGACGAGTCCCATGTTGAATTACAGAGGTCACAGGACACTTTCAGTGATGCCTTTCGGAGCGTGCAGAACTACCTCTTAAATAAGAGGACATGGCGATGTGTTACATGCCACCTCTGGTAAGTGACATCTGTGCCCTGAGGGTGGCAGGGTCATGCCTAGGGGGGTGCGAATACAAGTGACTGTCCCAGGCACAGCACTTTGGGGGCCATGCAGAGACACGCAGAGTGGACGGGGCGACTTCAGTGCCGCTGCCGGCCTCACATCCAGACACTTGCCAATTCCCTTCACCCCTGCCACCTCTCCGGCATGCGACATGGGCTCTGCACAGGGTGGTGGGGCTAATTTGCCCAAGGCCCTGCACCAGTGGTGTACCGTGGTTCTCTGGGGCCCGGGCAACAAGCCCAGGGTGCTGCTGCCCTTGCTCCCACACACCCTGCACAAGCCATCTTCTGTGATGGATTCGGCAGTGGGAGAGAGGTGGAGGTGAGCGGCGTGTAGTGCTAGTGCTCCCTTAGCACCTGCCAATGGCACCCCCTTCGCCTCCACACCCAGGGCGGCTGCCCTGCCTGCCGCTGTTGGTACGCCACTGCCCTGAACCCTGATAGGGTCATCTCTGGTTGTGGGGGGGATGCATTGTTTGGTTCAAATGTATTGTTAACAGGGCTGGTGGAATTTTACAGACATGAAGGAAGGTATGCGAGGTGCACAAGAGACACCAATACAAATACCGATGGTCTTTCTATCCCGCCTCCCTCCAGTTTTTAGATCCCCTTCCACTGCTAGCCACCAGCTGATCAATCCCTGTTGGTGTGACAAGAGGCAGAAAGAGAAAGGTAGAAAGAGAAGATGAAGCAGATGACAACACTTCCTTCAGGATTCTCTCAGCAACTGAACTAATTATGCATTATAATTATAGTTGACTTTCATCCTGACTTACATAGATTTTTAATAACAGGTAATACCAATAATAGGAGTCAATAATACTATTAATTCCAATAGTAATATAATAATAAGAGCTTGTAATAATATTAATATTAATGATGATGTATTAATGGTCAATAATAATTGTAATGGTTCAATTCCTTATCCCAGCATTTCAAAGCAGGTAGATCTGCCTTATCATGCTTCTCCAGCTGCCTCTTGCAGCATGCATACCACACATCCTTGGCGCACATTACATACATCCTGAGCCTCCACCATATATATATAGCCAATATATGATATAGACTTATGTTATATAGACTTACATTATATAGACTTATAATTACAGTTCAATTCCTTATAATGAGAAAGCAGATACTGGGCATAAGGCAAGTGATTATGCACCCTCCCTGCCTCTTTCACCATGGGGGCAGCGGTGGGGAATGCCTACCTCCTGGTTCAAGCTCCAACCTAGGTCCCTCTATTTCCATGGCTGGGCCTTCTGGTTTGTGGAAAAGTACTGAATTCTGAGCCTGATGCTGCGCCAGAAGGAGAGCAAGGCTTTCTTCTTGCCCTGCTCCTTGGTTGCTGGCGAGGCCACAAATGAAGCTGAGGCTATTTTCAGTTGGACACTACGCAGTATAAAACGTATCATTGAGGGAACTCATGTTCATTGGGTGACAGTCCCCTTACTAGCCTATTATCAAGTGACTGTTGATGTAAATAAACATGTAAAGAAATGTGTAATTAATGTGTACTAAAGTAAATATATACATTATATATCTTCCCTGTCTCCCTGATCTTTGTGTCTCTCTCTCTTTCCCATTTGTGCACCGTTGCCTCTGCTCTCTTTTCCCGATCTTCCGTCTCCCTGATCTTCATTCTCCCCATTGCACTCCACTACCTCTGCTTTCTCTCCCTGATCTTCCCTGTCTCTCCCTCTCTTTCTGTTCCCATTTGTGTCTGCCTTCTCTCCCCAGTCTTTCCTGCATCCCACAGCCCCTCTCCGGTTCCCCGGCTCCCCCAACCTGGCTCCTGGCATCTGCAGCTCACCTGCAGCTTTTCCCCAACACCCTCAGCATCCGCGGCTCCCCCGCAGCCCCTCTCCGGTTCCGGACTCCCTCCAGCCCCAGTTTTCCTGTCCCTGTACCTCTCGGCTCCCCCGCAGTCTCTCGGCTCTGGCTCTGGCCTCTGTGCCAGCTTTCCCCTGGCATTGCTCCTCCACTCTGTCACCTTTTGGCTTTTTCCTTTGATCAATTAATACCAACTAACCTTGAGTAACCCTAAGCCCCAGTGACCTCAAGTAACCCCAGGGGCCACAGTGACCCCAAGTAACCCCAACCCCAAGTGACCCCGAATAACTCTGGGGCATATTGACCCCGAGTAACCCCAGGGCCACTTGACCTCAAGTAACCCCAAGCACCAAGTTACCCAAATGTCCCCTAATGTTAACACACAGCCACGAAAGTGCGTGTTTGTGTGTTTGTGTGTGTGCATATAGTTTTGTATGAACCCATAGAGTGTTTGTGTAGTTTGTGTGTGTGTATATAATTTTGTGTCACGCCCTCCTGTCTAACAGTGCAATATTGAGATCCCGAATGTTGATCTGGTGCATGTCAAGTCAACACCAGGGTCTGGGTAGTAGGCCCATGCCTGCAGGCTCTTTGCCCTACTCGCCCTGCTCTGCCTTACACCTCTTTGTTGCACCCTTGTAACTTTTGAATCATTGCTGGCCACAAAGGAAGCTGAGCTTTCTTCACTGGCTTTGGCCCAAGCATCAGCTCAAGTTGCACAGGTTTTTCAGGCCCATTTCATAGTCTTCTCACCCTCCTCCTAGTTACTGGCCATGTCCCGGCAAATTGGGACTGGGGTACATGTCTTCTGGCACCCATCCACCACTCTGTCTCCTTGAGGCTTCTGTCTCCTTGAGTTTCTTCTCTGACTTGCAGAAAGAAAGAAGATTTTAAGTAAATAATGTCGGATAACAGGAAGTAGTATAACAGAAGGGGGGATTTTCCTCCCCAGCACCTTTACAATATAAAATATTGTAAAACCTCTATAAAATGGCACCTACGTGTCTGCCTGCCTGCCTCCCTCCCTCTCTCTTCTTCTTGCAAGAAATGCTGGCTGCATTGAAATGGGGCGAGTAGGGCAATGCTTGGGCACTAGCACTGGCCAAGCATTCGACTTCCCTCCATCTGATAACAGTCCACCTGGCAACTTTCCAGTAATGCCATGACTCCATAAAAGTCGCACGGTCATAAGCTCTCTGAAAACCACTCCACCCACCCCTCATTGGCCATGCAGACCAAAAATAAAACACTGCTCGGACACTGCCAGTAACCAGGAAGGGCTAGTAACCAGGCTGGCTGCCTCCCTCTCTCTTGTCCTCCCACCATGCTGCCCTCCATCCATCCTTCACCAAGTGACATACTGCATGTGATTGGAGAAAGGGAACACTCATACTTATTATACAACAACAGTTGTTTGATAGTGGTAATACTGAGGGATTAATCAAGGGATTACTCAAGGGACCTTGGGAGCATATTGTGAGTTGGGGTTTTGTCCTATTGTATTGCATTTGCTGGCAATGGCTGTACTGTATAAAAAACGTATTCACCAGTTGATTACCAATGGCATTGTTGAATAAAACAAAAATGTGTATACTGTTTTAGCTTTATTGTGATTTCTCAATAGAATTGATTGCAATTCAGTTTATTGTGAAAAAAAAAAGATAAGGAACAAAAAATTCTGATTTGTATTTTTTCTTGTTTGATTTCAAGGCATACACCAGGGAGCAGGTGAGCGGTTTGCAGATAGGCAGGGGCAGGAGTGCAGTAGCTTCCTAGGCTGGACACAAAGCTGGTCAGGGGCCGTATTTCAGATTGGTTGGTTTCCCCTCCAGGCACCTCAATAATATGTCTGGGGATAGCCATCTGCTGCATAATACTTCTAGCCTCTCCATAGGAAGCAGAGTGCTTTTTGAAACCCTGGCCTTGGGTGATTAGCAGCTCTGTGCTAGGATGACTCCCTGAGGTAGCTGAGACCCATCTGATGGGGACATGCCAATACCTAGTGTAGGAGAAGGAGGTATTACAAATTTCTTGAATTTGGATTAAAAGAAGTTCTCCCATGATGCTTTCTTTGAATACAGTTGATTCTGCAGAGGCCTAGAGGTAGTTGAACAGATTACCCTGGGCTGCCTTGGGAGTGCTGTTCCTTGTTCCCCTCTCACCTTCTCCCTGGCCTTTAAGAAGGCTGAGAGGAGAGATATGGCAAGGTAGGACAAAGCAATCCTGAACAAAATCTAATTAACTCTGTCCGGGGGAGAGCGGGTTGTAGCCAGCTGGTGGGGAGTGGGTTGCAGTCCACCTTGTAACTCTTTACAACTCTTTCCAGTAATGCCATGACTCTGTACAACCTCCCAAGCACAGCATCCCCATGCTGAGGTGGGCATGGTCTCCAAAAACCACCCCAATCACTCACCCACCCCAAAGAAAACTTGACACATATATAGAGCAAAAATAAACACTTTATTCAAAATGGTTTATTACAAAAATGGGATCTTCCTCCCCAGCTGCTTCACAATATAAAATATATACAAAATGTAAAAAAAAGAAAAAAACCCTGCAAACCTGAACATAAAGTTCTTTCTTTCACTCTCTTAACTCTCTTCATTCATTACTGGTTGCTGCCCCCGGTCAGTTCCACCCATGAAAGTTTTCTGCAAGGAGGGGGAAAGAGGAAGAAGAGGAAGAGGAGCGGGGTTTGGAGCAAAATAAAAAAACGGACTTTTGCTTTCCCCCCCCACACAAGGTTGGTGGGACTTATTACCTAAATATTACCTGGGACGCTGCATATCCTGGGCATCGGGTCTGGCAGGCAATGTCCTGCCCCTGGACTTTTGGTCGTGGTTCTGAAATGGAC